ATTCAGCTTGTGTGGTATATACTAAAACAATTATTCACCTCAGTGTCGATGAAAGTGATGGATATTTACCCCGCCGCTTCGCAGCTCGGTAAATATCCCCTGCTATTCACCTCCACTTCGGTGAATAATTGTTAATTATTTTTTAAAGGAAAGATATGTTCCAAGTCTTTTACTTTTCTGTACGATCTTTTGATGGACTCTTTTTCGCATTTCAACCACAGCTTGGAAACTTAGAGAGAAAGTGGCAGCATCACGAACAAAATAACTTCGTCATGAAAGAGTGTATCCTTTTATTTCTAATATCTATCATTATGATATTTACTCCTTTCACTCCAGGGTAAGTCCTTGACTCGATTGGTGTCGTTCAACTTTGAACTCTGGGATAAAACCCTAGCATGTGACCTTTCAAATGAAAGCTACTGAACAGTACTTTCATGTGGTACTGTTTATTATGGTGTACAAGGTGGTTCAAACTTTAAGTCTGTGAGTAAAACCCTAGTGTGTGACCATTCAAATGAAAGCTATTGAACAGTAGTTTCATGTGGTACTGTTTATTATGCTGTACAAGGTGGTTCAAATTTTTAAGTCTGTGAGTAAAACCCTAGTGTGTGACCATTCAAATGAAAGCTATTGAGCAGTACTTTGCCTTTTCAGTAAAAAATTGCATCTTGCTGTTTTGTATACCACTCCTTAACAGTTCTCAGTTATTGCTTCTAAAAGCATGGAGAGTGACTATCGCCCCTTGAAGCAAAATGTGTCAGAACAGCTGGAGGACATTAACAGACTGCTGATCCAGTCTCTTGGAAAATAACTACACCATTCCCGTCCCTGTGTTTTAAAAATGCATTACTTTCTTTTACAAAGCGTAACCAATTGTTGTAAAAAAGTACATTGACCTAACCCCTTTAACTTATGAAATAAATTGTCTGTTACAGCAAGCTGCAAACTTGGCTACACATTCACAGATAACTGTTATTTATAAAGTTTTTGAAGTTGCACGCGACTGACCTCGTGCCCAGATCTCACTCTGTTCCGCTCGGCCGTTGGATATCTGGGCTCGAGCACGCCAATGTTTATGACTTATAATTACATAAAACTGATCAAAAACGTATCTATGCCTGTTGACCCTATTGCCTCGTTTCTATGCCAAACCGATGAGAACTGGCCGGAACCTCATACTGCTACCTATCCCCACCCTCCCCCTGACCGTAGCCGACAGGTAAATCAATTGTGGGCAAGAGCCTGTAACCAGGGTCATGAAAGGAAAGAAGTGATCCGTTGCTAAGCAGCGTTTGTGACGAAAGTGAAAGGATTGGTTACCTTCCAGGCAGGGGTCATTCCTTAACTGCAGCTTTTTGTCTACTTTCATTCAGTATGTGTGTATTTCTGAGCGCTTTGATTGCCGAATAAATGTAAATCGATACCTGAACACTATTTAAAGGATTACAAATGAATTGCAAAGTTATGTACGGTTAGCAAGAATATAACTGTAACTAACATTCCAACAAAAAATAAATCTGCTTTACAAGAGTGTTTCGCAGCTACTCTGCAATTTCTCGCTCTTTCGAGGTTTGTGTTAACACTCATATATAGAGTTTGTATTCCATATAAGGGAAAACTCTAAGTTGTAGCAGCGTTGTAATTTAAGCGTTTATGATTTCTCTTACAAGTTTTCAAACTTTTCGCGCGATTTACAACATCTGCATCAATTTTCTATATGCCCGCGCGGATTTTACCACTTTCCAAATTTTTTTCTTGTAAAATTTTATATACTTACTTTTTCTGTTCAAACAATCAATCTCGTTTCCAGAGCCCTCGCTGACTGACGCTGACTACAAAAGCGAAGGCTCTGGGCATGACGAGATATTTTGAACAAGAACTCTTGCTTTAAAAAGTGTTTTGCGCTTTTCTTCTTTTCAGCTGACGGGCACGTGTTTTCCACTTTTTTCACTCGCCTTCCCGTTTTCTTGAAAATCTGAAAGTGAAGAGCTAGCTATTATTTTCGCAGTCGAAGCAGTTTGAAAGAAAGAGTCATTTCAACAACAATTAAACATCTGCAGGACTATGTCTTGACAACGTCAAGTTTGTCTAGTACTCCTTTAGAGAGTTTCAGCACACAGCCAGTAAATGTAGCTGTATTGTCTTTGGAGACCATTTTCACTGGTATGGTTGTCTTCTTGATCCATTTGTCCTCTGTAGGGTCATAGCATTCAACACCCAAGCCACTTCCCAGCCCAAAGACATCTCCGCCACCCAGCACATAGAGTGTTCCCTTCAGACAAACCATACTGCCATGTGCGCGAGAAACATTCAAACTTCCAATTAACTGCCATTCGTTTGTCGAGATGTTAAACATCTCACATGTTTTCAAACAAGATGTCCAATGCTCCATCCCTCCGGCTACAAAAATCTTTCCTTCAGTTGACACACCAAAAGCGTACCCTCTCTTTTGTCGCATGTTTGCAATTTCCTCCCATTTGTTTTCTACAATATCAAATCTCTCAGCTTTCGCAACGAAGTCATTCTCTGTTTCCCCGCCACAAACATAGAGATGATTGCCAGTCGCAACAACACAAGTCCCATGCCTGCAGCCCTCATGAGATGACAAAACCGTCTGCCATGAGCAACGCTCGACATTGTATCTTTTGATAGTAGATTCTTTCGTTG